TCTATCATATTTTACAGCATTTGAAACTTTAGGATACATATCCACCATGAGCAACTCGTGAAAACACTAGCATTCGTTACCGAGTAGACTTGGATCAAGTCCGTCTCAACAGAGTCCGAGTCGCGAAGCGACGAGATCGAGAGACTGTGAAGGGAGAGACGGACTTGGCTCACTTGCAATGTTTCGAATCAGAATTATTATTTTCGCGGGAGATTATATTAAATAGGACCGGCGTTATTTTTAGTGGTTTTGTTACAAATAGTCAAATACGGAAGCCGGCTTCCGTATGCAAGTGTCAGGGCAAAATTAAAATACAAAGTCACTGCAAAATAAAGTTAACTAAGTCTAAGGCAATACATGACCAATTCTGAGACGCTATTATTAAAAACCTCAGTCGAACAGATTTGTATATTGACATTTGTGATATTAACAAATTATCAAATATTTTAATGTCTTATATATAACTATAAGCCTTATATTTAAACACTTGTTCTATTAAATCGTATCTATAGACTCTTGTAGTTTATTTATATTTTGACTATTTGCCACAAAATTTGTCCTGAACAAAATATCCCTGACTGTATCATAATTTCGTGTGATCATGAAGTTTGCCGTGACACTTTATGTGTCTGTTGTGTAGTTTATACTGATCGTATTAAGTGATCAGTCATTAATACAACCGCTATCTCGATCGAAGCATGGCTTATAAAGTCAAAGACGAAGGGGTCTATTTGAAAAATTAACTCTTCCCTGACTCAGTTGGAGCAACCATAAGTTTATATTATAAAGGACATCTCGACCAGCCACATAGGTTTCGACATAAACTCTTCGCTGATTGTCCATAACTTTATCGTATTCAAGTTTACGCAAACCATAAATAATACCATCTCGAATCGAACTCCTCATGTAAGTATAAACTAAACCAACCTCCGTCGCAGAGACTTTAACTCAGACACGCTACATATTTTGAAACAAGATACTTTGTTATTTCAGCTTTATTGCAATTAGCATAAATTATTGCAATCTAGTTATGACGTATACCGACGGAAAAACGGGTCGGTAAATTTGGCGCGCTTGCAGGTGAGCCAAGTCCGTCTCCTCCCTCAAACTTTCCCGCGTTTTTGCACCTCGCGCGCCCGATCCCTCGGACAGTGAGTCGGACTCTTGAGAGACGGACTTGATCCAAGTCTAGTTACCGAGATGAGAAATCAACTTTCAAGAGATGTGAAATATTACACCTAAACAATATTCCGTGTTATCTGGCACGTGCAAGACATTTAATAATCTCAGGGGAAAACCGTATTAACTATAATGTCATGCATGGGTTTATATACGCTGTATTCTTTTTTTTAACACGTGAGCTAAAAACTTCGTTTTTGCCCGTATGAGTTAATTAATAGGAGGGGTGTGTTTTAAGCCTTCTTAATAACATAATCAGCGCAATCGCAAATTCAAACCCACGCATGCTTTAAAAATAGTTTATCTTTGTGAAAAAGCGTAGTGTTTTTTCATGTATTGAAAAAATACAGCGCATAACTAAACAAGGAAAATTGCCTTGTTCCTATAAACCTATTCCTCGGCACTCTTAAATGCCTTGCCATGTCCTCATTGCATTTGCATGCCGACATTATAGTTAATACGGTTTTCCCCTGAGATTATCAAATGTCCGGCACGTGCCAGCTGATGACGTGTTTATTGTTTATTGTTTACGTTTAATATTTCACATCTCTTGAAAGTTGATTTCTCATCTCGGTAACGAATGCTAGTGTTTTCATGAGTTGCTCATGGTGGATATGTATCCTAAAGTTTCAAATGCTGTAAAATATGATAGTATGAATATTAGTCTAGAAGGGTCATCTTTTGGAAATTCGTAGCAGGACGAAATTAGCAAGAAATGTGCGAAGCAATTTAGACGATGCTAGACGTATTTGACATGTTGTGGCCTTTCGACGACTTGAGCCGCATAATAACACCATTTTTAGCGATCTTGTTTGCGTCGTGTGTTTCGGATATTAAGCATGTTTATATCGTTAGTTCTTCAGAAAAGCGCAACAAATGATATTATGTCATTAACATATCAATTTATTACTCATATAAAGCGTAAATGTACGGATACCAAAGTTGTTGTATTTACGGAAGGATAAAATTAACACAACGGGGCCCTGCGTGAAATTAGACAGTTCAACTTTGCGAGTTATTTATCGCGGTTTCGCGATATGGAAATAAGTTCAACGCCTGACATTACTTTTGAATACATTCTCTAGAATGGTCATCAATCAAAATTTTACGTTTTTCGTTGTAAAGGTAA